ATATATATATATGTGTGTGTGTGTGTGTGTGTGTGATTAAAAATCATATTAAAACCTTAAAACCTTTTTGTTTGTTGCTGTAGATTGTCTTCTTTACAGCAAGTAACGTTTGTTTAGCTCTCCCACAGTAACTCCACACAGATACCGTAGTAATGATTTATTGTGCGGTTTGTTTGTTTAAAACAAAATTAATTCTCAGTGATCTTGTGTAAATATCACACTTTGTTGGATTGCACAACACTCATTTTTTTCAGCAGACAGTGTTGCTTTTAAATTTGCCAATCCTTGCACTTTGAAGTACACTAAGAAGTTTTGTTCACACCACAGTTTTCCCCCCATTTATCTATAATTTGCGATTAATTTGTCAAAAATATCTATTTTTTTCTTTCTCAGACTTTTGAAAGTAACATTTTTGGCATTTAACTCTTTCAGGGAGGCAGATATTTGTTCAAACGTGACATTAGCATAATTAGCAGATTTGTGGCTCTTTACCATCTTAAATTGGGTTTTTAAATCACCACGTAGGATAATTGTTTCCCCCAAAACTAGCCACAGGATTTGATGGTAAACTCCTTTTCCTTTCCTTCCCGAGTCCTGACATGTTTGGCCGTGTTTCTGGGTCACTGTGTGAGCCCGGTGTACAGTGGTGTGATAAAGTGTGTGACAAACATGCAAAAAAATAAGAAATCAGGAAGGGGGCCAACACTTTTTCACACCACTGTATATTCAGCCCTCGCGTTACTGCCAAACTCAGGACAGCTGAAGTTAGCAGCCCTGCAGCCTCAGTTTGACATTTATAGGATCAGGACGACACATTAATGCGGCGTTATATATGAGAAGACCAAACCATCGCATACTTTCTGCTTTCATTTCCCTCATCATTCTCACATCACGCTTCCCGCCTGTCCTCCTGTTTTTGGCATGAGCGTTCGGACCTGCCGCTGGAACAGAAGCGCTTGTGTTTGACTTTTTCCCTCGGCGCTGAAAAGTCAAGTGAAATGATTTGGTTCCCCAGGTGAAGTTTAAGAGTGTCTATATGTCAGAGTCTGTACACAGCTAGCATTTACGTTTATTTTCTCATTTGCATTTGGTTTGTGAAGACGTGTCATCCTGTTCGGTTGGCATTAGTAATGCGGTCGCTCGAGTATGTTGAAATTTGGAGTCAATCTGAACACACATTCACATAAACCAGACAAGTTATTAAACTAAATGTGTTTACTCTATGATGTTCGGTTTTAGCAGACTTTATTTAGTTTGTTTTGCTCAAGTGTTTGTATAGTATGTTTTTTTTATTGGCTTGTGATCTGTAAACTGATCAACTTTGCTGACTAGTAGAAACTTGTTAAAGAGATGTAGCAAAATCATCTGGAAATGAAGAGATTTTTCTTTATTCTTGCTTTTATATTTAAATTGCAGATTGTGATCTGTTTTTCACCTCTTAACTAATGGCAGAAATATTTTGTTGTGTATTTGAAGACATTTTATTTTATTTTTTTTAATGCTTTTGGACTTTTTTTTTTTTTTAAATAAGTAGTGGAGGACCAGTAGGTTTTTTTTTATATGCTAATGCTATATCTATTAAGCTACCCATTAATAATCTATTAAGGCTACTAATAATCTGTTAAGGTTACCCATGATTGTAATAATACTTGTATTTGTATGTTTTTGTTGTTGTTAAAGTAAGTGGGATGCACATAAAATGCTAACAATATTAAAATTATAAAACATTTTAAACTACTGTATATATAGATATTGCGATTTTGGAAGAGAAACAAGGGAATTTAGCACTAACATAAGACACATTAATCAATTTATACACTACCTTTCAAAGGTTTGTGGTCAGTAAGATTGAAGAATTAATACTTTTAAATACTTTTAAACAGCAAGATTCAATTAAATTGATCAAAAGTGACACTAAATACATTTATAATGTTGTTGAAAAAATCTATTCCAAATGCAGTTTTTAATATATATTTTCTATTTTGTTTCCACAAAAATATTAAGCAGCAAATCTGTTTTCAGCATTGATAATAATAAGAAATGTTTCTTGAGCATCAAATCAGCATATTTGAATGATTTCTGAAGGATCATGTGACACTGAAGACCGGAGTAATGCTGAAAATTCAGCTTTGCATCACAGAAATAAATTGCATCTTAAAATATATTAAAATAGAAAAGTTATTTTATATTATAAAAATATTTGACAATATTACTGTTTTACTGTATCAAATAAATGCAGCCTTGGTGAGCATAAGAGACATTATGAACATTGAAAATTGCACTGACCCCAAACGATTTGGAGGTAGTGTATGTATTGATATATCACTAGTAGTTTTTTTTTTTTTTTTCCTTTAGTGTCCTTGAAAACGTCACTGTAAAAACAGAGAAATAGAGGCAAAATCCTGACATTCATGCTTTGACACTGTGCTCTTTCGTTTGAGATTTGGTGATTTGAAAGTGACAGACAGACAGACTGACATGAGTTATTATGGGATCTGCTGTCGTGGCATCTATTTTCCCACTTACAGCTGCATAGAGACTATGGCTGCACGATATATCATTTCAGCATCTATATCGCGATGTGCGCATCCACGATAGTCACATTGCAGGATGTGCGATGTTTAGTATAGGCTACTGATCTTTATACTGATTGTTTTCTTTGCTCACACACAGACACGGTGTCTACACCGGACATGACAGCTGTACAGAGATACCCATTTTAAATAAATTTAGTAGAAGAGCTACTGCACGTGATTTTCAGTGCTGGAAATCTGTTTATCCTTTGACACTCCCGCGTTGTCGTGGAGAGCGCAAGTCACGGTTGCTTAGCAACGGCAGACGCCATGAAAGCGCAAGCTCCCGAGCGCTTTGGAAAGAAGGAGAAAGCGGCGTGGCTGGCGTTTTCCACGCGTTTTTAGGCGCAACATATGAACGGCCCCAAAGTCTGTTTGTACTGGACGCGACAAAGCGACCGTTGCCCATCATTTGAACTTTGTGTCAGTACGTCATAAATAGAATGAGGCATCAGTTTACTGGACTGTTACCCATCATTTGAACTTTGTGTCAGTACGTCATAAATAGAATGAGGCATCAGTTTACTGTCAGGGATTTGTCGTGTCGTGCGCAGTCCAGTGTAGTCTGTCACACAGCATCACTGATTATAATGGGTTCTATGGTTTTTTGCGTGCCGCGCCGCTTGCGTCCAGTGTAGACACGGTGAGAGCCACGCAGATGCACGTGAACACTGAATTCCGTTCACTTCTGCGTCTATTTGTGCCTGAAATACTGTGCTCTGCAAGTATCCTTGTAAACACAGATGCTTATGGCTTAGGTGAAGGTAAACAATTGAGAAAGAAAATGGATGTGTAACAGTATATTGGTTCACAGCAGTTTAATGTTCCTGTTGCTTTCTCTGTCATGAACGTTAATCAAACAACAAAACACAAAGAAAAATCACTTTTGTAGCTTTAACACAGATTTATTGTGAAAACTATGCAGTGTTATTTTACATTTGATTATTCAATTTTCTGTACCTGGATACTGTTAGACTTACCTGAAAAATATAAAGCACTTCTTATTTCATTTGTATCTTTGTTCTGTTATTTATCTATGCTTGTATTTCCTATGCTGATTTACTCGCCTATAAAAATCACCCCAATCATTGATTTTTTTTTTTTTTTCAAATAGAGCTATTGAAGTCATCTGATTTTTTTATATCGCAATATATATCGCAGAAAAAACAAATATCGCAATGTGAGCTTTTTCCAATATCATGCAGCCCTAATAGAGACCCTTCCCGGCCCTGTCCCGACCCCTATCCCACTCTTTCCTGCACTCCACTGCTTCAAAGCAAAGCTCGCACCCTGGACCTGTCAGCACTGCAAAAACACAGTTCTTAAGCAGTTTCACCTTGTTTTCCAGTATAATTATATTAACATCCTTAAAACAAGATGCATTTACTTGAGTCAAAATCTTATTTACACTGAAAAAAATGTTTCATTCTATCTAAGGGCAAGTTATTTATTTTTCATTGACTCCAGTTAAAAAATATAGATGTGAATCATTACCCTAAATTTTTTTAATTGGATGAATGAAACATTTTTTTTAGTGTGCATTTAGTGAAGTTTATACTTAATATATATTTTTTGCATTCTTAAGATAAAGCAATTTGACATTGGGGTTAAAAAAATACATTTATTTTTCTTTTTATTTAACTGTATTTTTCTACCTCATTGGCAAATACTTTTTTATCTTGTTAAAGATGTTTTTACTGGAAAATGGGACAAAATACTGATTAATAATGATTTTTTTGCAGCGTGATTGGCTTTTCTATACTTCACAGCAAACAAAAAACCCTAGCAGTATCTTATCTGTAGATTAAAAGATAATTTTTAGTATTATCAGCAAATTTGTCGTATTTTAGAAGCTGAGATGGATAAGATAATTTTTTTTAGATGAAGATCAAGAAGCAAAAACCCTGTTTGATTAAATCCACATCTCTGTTCTGCCATTTTGTTGATCCCAATTTTACCAGGACTCTCGTCGACTGGTTCTCTTAAGAAGTCGGGGAAATTCGATTTCAGCGCTCTGTCCGGCCATACGAGGTCTGCACGCATGCCGTTCACCCATCACCCGCTGCCCATGCTGGCAGGTGTAAGACCAGGTGAGATCTCAGAGCCCCCCCACCCCACCTCCCACATCCTTCCCCTTCCTGTTCTGCTCCCTCATGCCCCCTGGTGGGTTCAGATGTGGTGACGTTCGGGGACAGGCAAGGTCGTGTTTACGCCACGGTCGGGTCGGGTGAAGGCGTTCGCCATTCGACCCCCCCCACCCCTTTCTCCTCTGTACCGAGGCTGATTTGTCTTTTTTGTCTGTCTGTCTGTCACTGTGATTGGTTGGTGATTGGTCTCTCCATTTCCCGACTTCATTCTCCCTCCGCTAGAGGCGTCGTTTCACTGCCCAGATGCACGTAAGCTTGTAAGATGTTGTTTTAAATGCTGTGCAGCAGTGATCAAAGTACATGTCCACTCTCCTTTAATGCAAGACTCACAGGATTAGAAAACTGCATTTTCAAAGATGTTCTGAAGTATTTTATCATCTATTATCAATTAAGATGGAAAAGAAGGAACAAATTATAAATGTGCCAAAATTAGATTTGTAGATGTACTTTTTTTGTAGATGGTTTTGTAGATGAATACATACTAATTTACCCATTATTAATTCTTTCTTTTCAGAGAGCTATTTAAAACTTACAAAACTATGATAACCAGCTCCACTGACAGACAAACAGATGGATGGATGGATGAACGACAGACAGTGATAAATAGACATAGAAGATATAGATATATAGATAGATAGACGGACGGACGGATGGACAGATGGGTGGATGGAGGGACAGAGGGATAGATAGATAGATAGATAGATAGATAGATAGATAGATAGATAGATAGATAGATGGACAGAGGGATAGATAGATAGATAGATAGATAGATAGATAGATAGATAGATAGATAGATGGATGGATGGACAGAGGGATAGACATACAGATAGATAGATAGATAGATAGATGGACGGACGGACGGATGGATGGATGGACAGAGGGATAGATAGACAGATGGGTGGATGGATAGATAGATGGATGGATGGATGGAAAGAGGGATAGATAGATAGATAGATAGATAGATAGACAGAC